ATAGTACTCTCTAAAGAACTTACCATGTGATTCGAGAAGTCACTAAACAACCAACTTCCTTGAGACATCAACACCTAACAATCTTGTCAATGTGTGACTTCATCTTTAAGATGTATGTACACACAAACTTTCCATCTTTGTGTCTTATTGACAATAGGGCTTGAATGACTTTGAACTTTTCAAGCTTTTAAACATGTGGGTTAGAGAGAATTATTTGAGGAGGTGGATAAATGAAGCATGACTTCCATTTCCACAATCCAATCGTGGAACATCATCTTCACGTGGAAAACCTTTTCCAACGGATTTAGGAAGACCATAGTTGTTAGACTTTGACATCTATGAATCAAGAGAAAATTCAAGTATAGTTGATTGAGTCCTTAATAAAACACCCAAATGAGATATTAAGGCTAGGATCCAACACAACATCCTACAAATTAGAAGAGGGATGTCGTAATCCAACTTGCAGAACATTTGAAGGTAAGTGAATGACGATTCACTAATTTTCCACCATTAAAAACGAAAGGAAATTTAAGTTTTAGATGTATTGAAAACTCCTAGATCTTTTGAGATTCATTGAACTTTTCAATGGCATGTTTAAATCTCGATATGCTCCTCGATTTGTGACCGAGATGCCGAGGATCACAAAACAGGGTGTGAATAACCATGCAAATATACATGGTGTCCCCAATGTTACAGTCACCTATTTGATGTGTCGGTTAACCACACACGCTCCACCTAACTATGAAAAACATCGAGTCACCCTTTTCCACCTTTTCTTAGAACCCAATTAGGGTTCCGGTTAACCACACACGCTCCACTAACGTCTTAGCAAGGGTACAAAGTGTAATTTCATGGAATTACATCAAATTCACTTTTGCCTAAAGTAACTAGGATTGGGAATTTTGTAAAACATTTAATTACTTTATATTTCATTATACTTTTAATGAGGAGAGGGTTTGCCCTATCCTACTCGTTCGGCTAACGACCCTCCACCAATCAAGGAAGCGGTGGGTGAGAGTGGACACCCATTAATTGACCATTTTATAGGCCATAACCTTATACCCCCCTTATAGATCGACTTCGTGAATGAGGCCTACTAACGGTAAGTCTAGCATTTAAGTTATACATATATAATATTATGCATTTAATGTTATACATAGTATAAGGGTGTATTTACACTTTTAAAATACTAGGTGGTTTAAATTTTATAAATTACACTTTTAATTAAATACAAACCATATCATTATAGATTTATTAACTCTCTTCTAATTACACACTTAATTAATTTAATAAAACCATAAGGGTGTAATTTGAACTTTTTCAAATTTAGGGTTTTAGAATTTAGACTTTCAAAATTAAACTTTTAATCAAACAATAAAATTCCAAAAATTGAGGGCAGGTTTTGAAACTTTTCAAAACAATTAGGTTTTAATCTCACTTTAAAATTTTCGAAATTTAAGACTATTCAAATTAAAATTTTAAATATTAGAACTCTTGATTTAATAATTATCTTGAATTAAACTATTAATTTAAATTATTAAATCATAAGGGATTATTAAAACATAAAGGATAATTACCAATTAAACAATTAATTTATCATAATCCTATTAATCCCTCTAAATTTCAAAAATCATGGGATAGGATATTTCAAAATCTTTAATTACCATATATAACCATTAAAGGATAATTACAAGATATGGGATAATCCAAATCCCTGAAATTTAGGATCTTATCTTGGGGAGGAGGCTAATCTCGAAAATCCCAGGGTTTGCAAACCCTAGATTTCGAAATCTTGGGACTTAAGGAAAGGTTTCGAAAAACCCTTACCAAATTTTCGCAAATTAGGGTTTAGGAACCCTAATCTCGAAAATCTTGCCTCCTAGGGTTTATTGGCTATAAACCCTAATATGTCAAGTTCATACAATTGTATAATACTAATTGAAAACAAGTTAACCAAAGGCTCTGATACCACTGATGGGTTTTGTACAAACAATCCTATATGTGCATGCAACCCTAGATTTTGGATCTATGTTTTCACTATTAGATACACAACATTTTGAAAACATGAAGAACCCTAATATGCTCCTAGGAATTTCGAAATTCATAAGGAAAGATGAAATACATACCTCTTGTTTTTATATTGTAATAACAACCTAAATCTTGAATCTTCTTGTCTTTGAAAGCAAGTACCACAAGTGTAGTACCTCTAATAGCTCACAAACACCAAGAGCAAATGGAGATGCAAAATAGAGAGAGGAGAGGTAAGAAATTCGGCCCTAGGAACCCTTGGGAAGGCATGGATGAATTTCATGTGCCAAAGGGTGTTTATATAGGTGTAGGGATTAGGGTTTTAGTCCTTATCCTTATCTGGTTGCTTGCCACTAAGCAACCCAAAAGATCTGGGAAACCCTCGGACATGCAACCTATCTGGGAAACCCTGGGTCTCTTGGCCTTCAGTCTACACCAGTCTGCCTCAACCCAACCACACATAACCATGTCAACATATACATAACAGATAAGTATACATATAACTAGTCCACAGACAATCAAAAGATCTTGCAAATCACTAAGCATAGCATCATCCTATATACAAGGATACCGATCTAATCAATCACTACAATGCAACACATACTATCACATAACATGATATCTAATCCAATGGGTCGGCCTTTGTGCCTTTGACCCACAAGTATAGTGACGAAAATTCACCTCACAGACTGTATAGTAGCCGATGAGGACGCGACTTCGAATCTCAGCTCAAACTGTCACCTATCCAATAAAAAAACCAATCATAATCAAAATCCCAAAATACCCTTAAGTAAAACTTGGTCAAAGTCAAATTTAAACTGGTCAAACCCATCGAGTCAACCCAGTTGAGTCTCCTCAGAATGAGTACGCAGGGCGTACACCGAAGTTATGTTGGGCGTACTCGCCTCCTCGCACGTTGATCACCATTGGGGTGGTTGACCTCGTATGCATGGCGTACTCCCAAGAACTTCAAAACTCATTAAGCTCTTAATAGCTTAATCACTTGCATCCATATTTCAAACCCATGGCTAAAATACACTCAAGAGTCATAAGGTTTCCAACTTTATGACTTTGCATTCCCATTAAGTGCTTAACTCAACTTCTTAATCCATTAAGACATTCTACAAGATGCATGACGCAAAACCAACCATTTGAAACCCATTTTTATGACTCAAGATCCTCCCAAGGGTTTGAAAGGACAGCTTAATGGTTCAAGCACATTCTTTGTTCATGAAACACCACATTTGAGACAAAAAGAAACTAAAACTAACCCAAAACAATATCAACAAGAGACTACACCAAGTATAGAACTTGATACCTCAAAATGGTGCCAAAAGATGATGTAATCCTAGATCTAGAGATCTCTACTCCTTGAAGGTGGTCTCCTATTCCTTCCTTCTTCTTCAAGAGCACCAAAACACACACACACAAGATTAGAAATGGCTACTCAAGATGATACTAGGGTTGCAAACACGTATGAGAGGGTGGAGGCTGGTAAGCTGAGGGAAAATGAGGCTATAATGGGGTTTAAATATGAGCCAAACCCTAAAAATTAGGGTTTTCATCTTGGGCACGTACGCCATGAATATTAAGGTGTGCCTTAGTACGCTAAGCGTACACACGTATGCATGGCGTACTCACAAACCTCCCAAATTACGAAATTGTCACTAGGGCTTCCCATACACACTTCCTTCTACTTAGGAACCCAGAATGCAAAAAAATAAAATTATAGGGTTAAATTTAGATGTACCTTATCATCGGGATGTTACATAGATCTCCATTTTATAAGTACTCATGAATGTTGTAGCAACATAATTGTTATGTCTAAACTCCTTAGATAATTTACAATCCAATTCATGACATTCTTTATTCACCACTTACTTCCAAAAGTATGAGTGATTATGGAGCTTCAAATAGTCAAATTATTCAGGAAGTAAAACATGCAAAACGAAACACAAGAATAAATAATTGACAAAGGCAGTAAACAAACTCATAAATAATCTCTATTATTTAATCACCAAAATTAATTACATTTATTTTATTACAAGTTTCAAACTACACTACTAGAAAAACAACCTTTTACGACGCGCAAATTACGACACTCATTGATCTATGTTACGCAAAAGAGAGTGACATTAAAAAAGAGTCATCTATTAAAAAAATTTAAGGATTTAGGTCACGCATTACTGCGTGCCCTTAAATTAATGTCTCATGTAAAAAAATTAAAAACACGGAGGGCACTTTATCTAAAGCGTGCGTCCTTTGTGAATGTCGCTTTATATTTTTTTTAAGAAACGCGCATCTCCTTCGTCTTAGAGGGAAAATGAAATCCCCAAATTTTTTAAACCCCCGCCTTCTTCTCCCTTTCATCTACCCCTCACCCACATCCACTGCGTTCAATCCTTGATGCTTCTTCTAGCCTCAGACTGTGCCGATTAAAAACTACAATTCATCAATCATCAATCGAAACTACCAATTGAACAAGCCTTAATCGACACCTCCACCTTCTCGTCTCTCCTTCTCCACCAGGTTTTATCGCATCTCTATCCTCCTCCTTCTCGTCTCGCCCTCTCCATTGACAACACCAACACCATTGTCATGATCTATTCCAACACCCACCACAATCAAAATTGATGAAACCATACCTCCTCCTGCTTCCAACGCCTCAAAATGGATTGCAGATGTCGACGCTTCTTGTTTTTAATATCCCATTTCTTTCAAAATCAAATCGACCCAAAACCCTAGTTCTTGTTGTTCAAATCAATTTCAATGTTGAACCTCCGACTTCATTGGTTTGAAGAAAAATATATTGGAAACAGTGTATCGGAATCCAGTAGTGGTGGTAATTGGTGAGAACGTTTCATGGAAAAGAACTCAATAATCTTAGATATTACAAAAAAATGGCTACATGAAGACCGGAACCATCCTAGTCACCCAGACCCACCATGTTGCCATCGTCTATGTTTCTAGGTAATCATAATTTGGTAAATATATATTGATGCTTTTGATACTGTGGTATCTGGAGATACCATGGGGATTATCGAGTATTGGGATCCTGCTACACTTCAGTTCCCTGAAAGTGGGTATGTTTTGTAATTGTGTGAAATTGTGTGAAATTGTGAATACTTTATGATTTTCTTGTTTTGTTTGTTGTTTGGCTTCATATATTGATGTTTCTTGTTTGTTGGATTCTTCAGGGTTAATTTCAAGTTGAAAAGTGATACCGATTTGTTTGCGATTGTCAAAAGTAAAACTGCTATTTCTGCTATTGAGGTAATGATTTAAATTCAGCTTGTAGAGAGTAATAGCTATTATAAAATTTATTTTGTTGTAATTAGGATAAAATTTGTAATAAAAGAGTGTGTCACTCATTCACAGAAAGAAGATTTATTTCATGTAGCATCAATTATTTTTTAAATATTTCTGTTTTTTTCTTTTAGGTAAGTCCAGATGGCAAACAATTTGCAATCACATCACCAGATCGAAGAATACGTATATTTTGGTATAGAACTGGTAAACTAAGACGTGTCTATGATGAATCACTTGAGGTAAGTAAATTTACTCTTTTGCCCTCAGTTTCATGACATTTAAACGTATATATCCTTAACTATTCTGAAGATTTAACCTAACTTTGGTTTGTTTAGAATGCTCAAGATCTTCAAAGAAGCGATGTTCCTTTGTATCGATTAGAAGCTATTGATTTTGGGAGAAGAATGGCAATTGAAAGAGAAATTGAAAAAACAGAAAATGTCCCACAGCCAAATGCACTATTTGATGAAAGCTCCAATTTCATTATTTATCCAACTCTCCTTGGTATTAAAGTAAGAAATTTTACCTTGTGCCATTTTGTTTTTCTCAAATTCTAAGGTGTATGCAGTAATCCGAAGATTTTATTTTCTAATGTTTTATTCATAAATTGGTGATAGATTGTAAATCTGCACACAAACAAAGTTTCCAGAATATTAGGGAAGGTGGAAAATAATGACAGGTTTTTAAGAATTGCTTTGTATCAAGGTGATCAAAGCAGTAAAAAAGTGCGAAAAATTCCTGCTGCTGCTGTAAATGTGAATGAAAGCAAAGATCCCATGACAGATCCTACTTTGTTATGCTATGCTTTTAAGAAACACAGAATCTATTTGTTCAGGTATATATATATATATATATATATATATATATATATATATATATAGTGTAAAAGTAAAATCATATATTTATGATTGTTCATATGTTATAAAAATAAAAATAGCCGAAGAGAACCAGAGGAACCTGATGATGCAACCAAGGGTAGGGATGTCTTTAATGAAAAGCCTCCTCCTGATGAACTTATGGCTGCATCAGATATTGGAAAGTCTGTTACAACATCTCTTCCAGAAAATGTGGTAAGTAGCCTACTTTTTGCTTTTAAAATGATTTATTTGATTTTAATAAATAATAATTAATATCCTTGATGATATATATATTTACCAGATTATGCACACAACATTTCACATATTATTTTTTTGTTTTTTGTATGCCAAGATTCAATTTTTAATATTTTTTTATACCCTGGCAAGATTTATTAACTTTCCAACTCTATTACAACATAAGGAGTGTTGCCTTTCTAGACTGAATAGACCATCTAAACGAGACTAAATGAGCATTAAAAATGCTAAAAATGAAAAAAAAAATACGAGTTATAAACTAACCTTTGGAACATGGATGAAAACCATCCTTTCTTCTTTGAATCTACTTTCTTATTTGTCTCTGCTTCATCATCATATGTGCATCATTCCTCTAATTTTTGTTTATTCAACTACATTTATAAAGATCTTGTCATATTTTTTTATGTTTTTTTTTTTTTACTTTTCAGCTCTAGTGGAAGCTCTGTCTGCATTAGTTCTTGTTATTCTGTTTTTTGGTTCAAAAATTTGGAACTGCAAGAGCGAGCTTTTTGTTCTCACCTATTACAGGTGCATGGACATTGACTACTCTTTTTATTGGAATTTACAACATCATATATCATTACCTTTCTATTTTCAAGGCAATATCTCCACATTATATCTATCAATTCTTCTCAAGGAATGGCCATGAGGGATGGTTGTTGCTTAATGGTATGGTCCTTTGCATAACAGGTAAGAGCTTTCTTCCTTTTTTTTTTTTTTTCTTTTTTTAATTTTTTTCTGTTAAATTTCTGGATGGATAAATGATATCTGTCTCTTGAAAGTAATGAATGAACATATAGACTGGTTATTTATTGAGTAAATGACCATTTTACCCTTCTACCTAGAAGTGATGCTGAATAGAGGTTAAGTGTTTTTGAATTGAAGTTTTAAATGATAAAAATTACTATTTTTTTGTTGACAAAACTACAAAATTGGTTTTGGTCCCTGAAAGATTTGAAATGACTGTTTTGCCCTTTTAATTTATTTTTTTATGTTTTTTCATATTTGTTTTAATATTTTATTAATTAAAAGTAAAAGGGAAAAATAGTCATTTCAACTTACTTAGGACCAAAACCATAGGAATTTCTTGATTTTAGAACAAATCAATAAGAGTATGTTACTATTTTTGCATTCAACTCTCTAAATAAATGATTATTTATTTTTTAGATAGTGTTTTACCTCCTCAAGTTTTGATCATTAATTTGATTGCTAAGTGTGCTCATCAGGGCACAGAAGTTAGCTTATAGTTCTCTTTCTGCTTTTCTACTCTTTTAATCCCAATCTGTCCTAACTATTTCTTTACGCCTGTTCATACTACTTCTTAAGGTATGGGCAATTGCAGATTCTAGACGACAAGGTTTTCTTGGCTTCAAAGAGTTTATTACTACAATGCAGGTAGTTTTTTAGCTTTATCTTCTTTCTCTTCTATCCACCATTTCTGTATACATGACCCTTTTCGGTGTGTGTGGTGATTGTAGTTGATTTCTATGGCACAAGTAGGACACACATTAAGTAGCGACCTCTTAAATTCTGATAGTAAGCTGTGTAACCACATCATCTTTTCTTTACACTTTTAACATGTAAATATGTAATATTTTAACCTTTGATTACCTTTCTTGTGTTCATGTTATCTTACAATGCAGTTGATTATGAAAATTTGAAACCACCTGTTATGGATAGTCTGGATGTCTTACTAGCTGTATGTATACCTTTCTCTCACCTCAGCTATATGCATTCCACTATGAGCCTAAAAACTAAATATATTTCTTGAAAGTTAACATGTTTGTTAATGTATGCAAAAGAAAAAGCGTCCAAAAAGTGATCCTTAAACTAACGGTAGTCCTGCAGTTGAAATAGAAAACTCAGATCCTGATGTTATGGGGCCTCAAAAGGTTTATAACATTTATTGTGTTCATTATTTAAAGACATCATTTAAGCTTCATTTATATAAAGAATTAAAGATACATTTGATTATAATCAAGATTAAGGGAGACTTGTAATCATGTTTGGCATTCCTTTCCAGTAAGAAACAGAGTTGTATGATTATTTGTTAGTTTTATAGGAATGTATAACACATGTTAGCAATGTATTATTTTTGTTTAACATTTGAATAATTCTTTGTATGACATTATAATTTGTGCAATTTATTTTATATTATGCAATGGATTGTATTTTTTGTATATGGTATTTTATTTCTATTATAAGAAATTAAATGAAAATTTAATTTAAAAATTAATAAATATATAAATTTATTTTTTTTAAACATTTAAATTTACGATACGCAAAAATGTATGTCATCTTCATTTATGACATGGCCTTTCTTGAATGGGGCTTTCTTGATACGCATTGCGTGTCATTAACACGCGCGCCGTAAGGTTACGACACGCGAATGCATGTCGTCTTCCTTTATGACAGGGCCTTCCTTGATACGCATTACGTGTCGTAACTGCGTGTCGTAACTGCGCATCGTAAATGCGCGTCGTAAATGCGCGTCGTCTCTCTTTATGACAGGGCCTTCCTTGACACGCATTTGCGCGTCGTCTGAGCGTTTTACGACGCGCAATGAGCGTCGTAAAAGGCCTTTTTTCTAGTAGTGCTAGTCATCTAACTACTAAAACTAATGTCATCTCTTAAACCAATGCTCCTAGCATGTTGATTATGTTTAACCCTACTTAGAGGAATTGTGAGAGAATCTACAGGATTGTCTTCTGATGAAACTCTCTTTACTATGTAATGACCTTCTTCAACTCTATGTCTGATATAATGGTACTTTCTGTTGATATGTATTGATTTACCATGATCTTTTGGTTCTTTGTTCAAAACAACTGCTCGTTCATTACGCATAAATGTTCCATAGGATCCTAAATGTTATAACTACTCCAAGATCACCGATGAAATTCTTTAGCCAGACCACTTCCTTTGATGCTTCACTCATTGTTATATACTCTGATTCGCAAGTAGAATCAACCAATGTGTCTTGATTTGAACTTTTCCAAGTGACTACTCCTTCATTTAATAGAAACACCCAACTAGATTGAGAATGAAGGTTGTATCTATCTTTTTGAAAGCCGACGTCACTATACCCACTTACTCTCTATGTAGCACTGCCACCAAGGACTAGAATTAGATCATTTGTCCTTCACAGATACTTAAGAGTGTTTTTCACTACTGTCTAATGAGCTCTTCCAAGATTTTCCAGAAAACGATGGGCCATGCTTAAAGCAAAAGACACATCACTACAAGTACATGTCATAGCGTACATGATCAATCCTACAGGTGAATCATATGGGCTCGACTCATTTCCACTATCTCTTCATATGTACTAGAGATTTCAGTCTTACTCAACTTGGCATTACTCTAAATAGGTAGCTCTCTTTTCTTGAAATTTTCCATACAAAACATTTTAGTACCTTTTCCAAGTATATACTTTGACTAAGACCAATTAGTCTTTTCTTTCTATCCCTTACTATTCTTATCCAAAGAATATAGGTTGCCTCTCCTAGATCCTTCATAGCAAAAACTATCCAAGCCAAGACTTTACTTCTTTCAAAGTTGGAATGGCGTTTCCTATAAGGTGTATGTCATCAACATACAATACTAGAAAGGTTACTATACTCCCACTATCCTTGACATACACATTGGACTCATCATCACTCCTAAAGAAACCAAATTCTTTGACTTTCTCATGGAAACAAAGATTCTAGCTACGAGATGCTTGTTTCAATCCATAAGTGGATTTCTCAAGCTTACACACTTTATTAGGAAAATTTTCATCCACAAAACCCTCTGGCTGAATCATGTAAACATATTCAGCCAACTTCCCATTAAAGAAAGCGGTTTTGACATCCATCAACCATATTTCATAATCATGAAAGGAAGCTATGGAAAACATTATCCTAATAGACTTTATCTTGTCAACTGATGAGAAGGTCTCATCATAGTCAATCCTTGGGTTTTGAGTAAAGCCCTTCACAATCAGTCGTGCCTTGAAGGTTTGTACCTTTCCTTCCATGTCTAGCTTCTTCTTGAAGATCCATTTGCAACCAACTGTCTTTTGACCAGGTTCTTGATCAATCCAATTCCAAACTTGGTTATCATACATGGATTTGATCTCACTATCCGTTTCCTCTTTCCACTTGGCAGCTTTAGGCCCTGCCATTGCTTCCTTCTAGTTAGTTGGCTCATCCAAATTTACCAATGTACGATAACTAACAAATATGTCACCCTCTGTAATTATATGGAGACCATGGAGCTCAGGTGGCATGCTAACTCTACTAGATCAACGAAGAGGTAATGATTTGTCAATGGGATCAACAGGAATCTGATCCTCTGGTTGAGTGCTAGTATCTTCTAAGGTTCCCTCACTAGTTAACTCTTGAATATCTTCAAGGTTAATTATACTCCCACTGTCCTCTTTTCATATGAGCTCTCTCTCACGAAAGACTCCTCTTCGTGCTACAAAGACCATGTTCTCACTAGGTCTTTAGAACAAATATCCAAAAGAATTTTGTGGGTAGCCAATGAAAATGCATCTCTCACTACTAGGTTCTAGCTTGTCATGAGTCTATCGTCTAACAAAAGCTTCACAACCCTAGACATTGATATGTGCTAACGAGGGAAATTTCCATGTCCACATCTTTTGAGGTGTCTTGACAACCTTCTTGGTAGGGACAATATTGAGGATATGGTCGACACTCTCTAAGGCATACCCCCAGAAAGAAATGGGAATAGAAGCTCGACTCATCATAAAACAAACCATGTCTAACAAGGTTCGATTGTGCCTCTCGACTACACCATTAAGTTGTGGTGTCCTATGAGGTTCCAACTGTGAAACAATTTCATATTCCTTGAGATAGTCGTGGAACTCAATACTAAGATAATCCCTGCCTCTATCAGATCAGAGCATCTTTATCTTCCTAGTTAATTGATTCTTAACTTCATGTTTAAACTCTTTGAACTTTTCAAAGGTTTCTGATTTATGCTTGATTAAGTAGATATAACCATATATTCTATAATCATATGTACATGTCACATAAAATCTATTAGCATCCATTGTGGTGGATCTAAAGGGCCCACACATATTTGTGTGTATGAGATCCAACAAACAAGAACCAGTGAAAGGTAATTTTATCATCTTTCCCAAAAGATAAGATTCACATTCATCATATGGCCTTAAGTCAAATGATTCCAACACTCTATCCTTTTGGAGTTGGACAATGTGTTTCTAGTTAATGTGCCCAAGACCACAATTCTCTAAACATTCCTTGTCTAAACCATTAGAGGAATCAATATGAAATGCATTATTACCTAAGCTATCAACACAAATCAAAGTTTCATACACACCATTACAATGTGAAGCTTGAAAAATAAAAATTCCATTTTTACAAACCAAAATCAATCCATTCATGCCATTAGCTGAATATTGAAAACCTTGTCTAAAAAGTGCATGAAAAGAAATAATGTTTCGCGTCATTTTTGATGAATAGCAACAATTAACTAAATCTAATCTAACATCACCACTAAGCATAAGACTATAAGTTCTAATATGGTAATAGAAGAAGATCATCTATTGCCCATTATTAGATTCATCCTTACATGATCCACCTATTCACTTTCTCTTAGTCCCTACAAATCAAAACAAATGTGAAAACCACATCCTGTATCAAGGACCCAAGAACAAGTATATCGTGATTTATTAGTTTGAATAGTGTAAATACCTGTCAACGATGGCTTTTATAACATTCGAGTTTTGGTATGTTTTTATATTAAAACCTTAATGCTTAATTCATTACATGTTGGTCCCTATCTAGTATGCGGGGTGTACTCTATGAGTACGCTTAGCGTACTAGCTATTCGATTGATCGCGGGTTCACCCACGTATGATGGACGTACATGGGAATACACACGGTGTATGCAAGGATTAGAAAAACCCTCATTTTTAGGGTTTGTTCCCTATTTAAGCAACTTATGATGCCTTGGTGGTATCTTTTGGTCAACCTCCACTCCCCTGAACCCTAAGAACAAAACCCTAGTGCCTTTTGTGATTTTTGGAGCTTGGAAGTGAGTTTTGGTGGTTTGAAGGAAGAAGAACTCTTGGAGATTGCCTTAGGGTAGCTTGAGCTTGTAAATCCATATTCATCATCATCTTTGCAAGCTATTTGAGGTATAAAGTTCCCAACTTGATGATTAATTATGTTATATATAGCTTAGGGCCTTGTTTATGCATTTTTGGGTCCTTTAAGCTTTGTTTGGGAGTATGTGTTGGGTTTTAGTTCAAAAATAGTTTCATAAACTATAAAAATATGGCAACAAAAGACTTTTATTTTTTTGAAATAACATAAACATTTTATACCCACCAAAGATCTCCTTACAAGTTATAGAAAGATAAAATATCAACCACAGAAAGGATGAAGAAATAACAACCTTTTTGTTCTTTGGATCCTCTTGGGATGCTTGGAAGTTGATGAAGAATGTGGAACTTTTGAGATACCAACAATGACTCAACTTGAAGTAGATGCTAGTCCCAAACTCTTTATCTTAATCTTTATGTTCTTATCAAAATAAGAATACAAAGAGAGAAAAATATGCAAGTGTTCTTCAAGTTTTCTAACCAAAAATAGATAGAAAGGGAGAGGGCGGAGTGGATTCGGCAGTTAGAAGAAGAGCTCACTAGCTAAAATGCAAGCCTCACTTTATATGCATAAAGTGTAAGTATTAACCATTAGGACTTCACACTTTAAGACAATAATGTCTCCTAATGCCTACTTGTCTCCAATGCACCTTAATACATGCCATACTTTCCTTCAAAATAGTCAAAAGCCCATAACAT